CAATATTTTAATCAACTATAATTTTGTTTATCTATTTTTTTTCACTAATATTTGTTCAGTTTTTTACAATAGTTTTTACACTTACAACGATATTTGAGTTGGACACCACCGAAGCTTTACGTGCGAAACACTAATTGCCACATAGCATTTCACCACCGATATTATAAGAATTTAAGATTACTGATTAATAATTGTAAAAAAAAAAACTTTTTTACCTTAAACTACGCTAACGGTAAACGCCAAGCAGAACGAATTATGCTCTTGCACATTTTAATTACTATTTATTATTCAGCTAACTTAAACATTTTTATTTTTTAATTTTTAGAGAAAGAAATGAAATTCCTAGGCAAAACTGTGGCAGATTTAAGTCGTTATGGTAAGCCATAGCTCTCTTTGCTGGAAAAGTCAAACTGTGCATTTTCAGGCTTATAAAAGAATGGATAACTCTTTATGTTTGAAGTTTTACTACTATACTGTATCAACCGCATAGATAGTGACCCATTAAACTTGACTATTAAAAATTAAGTTGTTGATACCTATTGAGTAAACTTGCATAGTATCAACTGAACATTGTCATCTTTGGTGTTTCAAAATCAACAACAGCTACTGATTACAAATGGTAGTTGAAATCTGAAGAATATACAAAAATTTATATAATCTTTTTTTTATTCTTTTTTTTTTACGGCTTTAACCGTTATTATTTTATCAAAATAAGAAATTTTGTAACATTGTAAATGTTTGTAACAAACAAGAAAAATTACATGACGGTTTATATTTCACGGTTATCCGTGATCAAATTTTGAGACGAAATAAACTGAATGACCAAAAGTTGTTGACAGATCACCGACGACTACAGATTATCAAATTGTAATTTTCTTGTAACATCGTTACAAAAATGATTTATACATTTGTAAAATTTTTCAAATATTCAAATTTTCTTTTTCTAAAAATATTTGTCTCTTGGTCAGTCAGTAATTTTTATTTGACCAAACATATGTACTCGATTTTGAGGCAAAAAATAACCTTTATAGTTTAGTCTTATTTCTTTTCTTCTGCTTTAATTAATAGTCGAAGCGTTTGAAGATATGTTAAGCGCGAAACTAAAAGTTTAACAAAAAAAAAAGCATTTTTTTTCTCGGAATTCTTTGAAGATTCAATCGAATCACTAAGATTCGCATAAAATCTCTCAGACTGGTTAACTTAATAAAAATAAAACATTTACTCTCAAGTAATAAAGCAGTATTTCAGTTATTTCCGAAAGAAAAAACAACTCTTTAAGTTTTGAAATTGAAAAACTATCAATTTACATAGTTTCTCTGCCAGTAATAGAAATGATAAGCTGAGCAGTTGCAGTGGCCATTAGCAGTGATCAGTTGAATGCAAAAAGACGCTTTTTTAGTCTGTCTTTTTTCTGTCAAATTTTCATTAGAAGATTGTTTCATTTGAAAACCATAACCATTCTTTGTTTTCTGACTTTTAGACTGACTGCTGAAAAAAGTTACAGAAACCTTTTTTTTTATCTCTACTGAAAAAAAAAACAAAATGCTGAATGTATCGCCAATGAAACAGCGTATAATGTAAGTGATAAAATGTTTACTGTTGTGTAAATTTTGTACAGTGAAAGCAAAGTCTAAAGAAGAGCTTAACAAAAAGATTGCTTTACCCAAAAAAAACTGTGTAAGACCAGTTCAACAGAGTAAAGCTTTTATCCGTTCCATTTTTTGTTGAATATTTCCACTCATCTATTTCAACAGTTCTTGAAGTTTAGGTCAAAGATCAACAACACTGTCAACTACTGCAACAGTTCTGTACGATAAACTGTTGTAGCAAACCGTAGTTCAATTTTAGTTTTTCTCCCACTCCAAAAGCTTTTTAATCCAGTTCTGCTAATCTTTTCTTGTGCCTTTTTATTTTCACTGTTTTTCATTTCCAAATTTTCATCGTAATAATACTCAACCAGCAAAATGCCTCATTTTTTGTTTAGAAAATTGTGAAAACAGCAAAAAAAAAAAAAAAAGAAGCTAAGAAAAAATGTGTTTAAATGTAACAGATTTCAAGTGCCAATCTGAAACAGTCAAACAGTGGATAAACAATACATGTAAAGAAATGGTTTGCAAGAAATGTTGTTGAGAAGCAAATAAAGAA